GTTTCTGGTTCCATCCATTTTCCTGCAAATGACATAATTTTATTTTTGATTATGGCTGAATAAAACTCCATTGTGTATATATTCCACATTTTCTTTATCCATTCATTTGTTGATGAACACCTAGGGTGGTTCCACAGTTCTGCTATAATGAATTGCACTTCTATACCTAAACATGGGTGTATATATATCACTGTAGTTTGATGACTTTAATTCTGCAGAGGAGTTGGTACAGCTGGTTTTTAGGGTGGTTCTATGCCTCGTCTTTTGAGGAGCCTCCATATTGATTTCCATAGTGGTTATATTAATTTATAGTCCCACCAACAGTATAAAAGTGTTTCTTTTTACAAGAGGTTTTTTTTTAATGATTATGTACATTATGGGAATAATTTAATACATTTGATAATGTGGCCATGACAATTTTTTTTTAAATTTCAGGCTTTGTAAATAATACAAGAAAAGAAGAGCATGTATTAAACAGATATCAAAACACACACACAAAATATTGTTTAGGTGATCTCAAGTGATATGTGAAGGTATGCCAAGAGGTGCCATGAAAAGGGAACTTGCCATGGACTGGGTACTTAGATCTAGGTATTTTAGTGCCAGTTTTATCCTAAGGAATCTGAGTTTCAATGAAATTAGGTAAGTGAGAGGAAGACCTGGGACAGGAACCTAGGTGGTGTGACCCCAAAGCTCAAGTTCTTTTTGCTCTGACCATACAAGTTAAGAGGATGGGTGCTACTTCCGGAATCAATCATATGTCTATGAAATGTAGCATAATATAAAACTGAGCAATGGACTAGGGTTATAAGATCTGAATTTTGAGTCTCTAATTTAACAAGCTGAATGATTTGGACAAGGCTTTTAACCTCTCGGGGCATTCATTTTCTCATTTTTGAAAGGGTTGTTATTAAACCTACTTGTAGGTTTGTTATAATGATCAAATGTGAAAATCTCTGTAAAATCCAAACCACTTTATGCATGTATAGAGTTAGTAATACTAAGAAACAATTTTACTTAAAATAATATCAGGAATGAAATATGTAGGAATAATTTAACAAAAGAAGTATAAGATGTGCACTAAAACCTACAAAATTCAAAGACATTAAAAATATATTCCTTTAAATACAAAGACATTTCCTGTTCATGCATTGGAAAAAGTAATACTGTTTTGAATGAAACTTTTATAGTTTCCGTATCAGCTTACCTGGTAGCTAATGACCCTAGCAGACACCAGAGGTTGGACAAGGGAGTACCCACAAGGGAGCCACCTACATGGGTCCCATTGGGGTGGCCTCTCCATAAGGGGTTGTATTTTGGGCACAGTTTCAGTAATTTAACCCACAAAGTGAAAGTTTAAGAGCTTCTGTACTTACAAAAACTGGGGTTTGTGTGGAACATCTAGAAGCCACACACATGGAAGTCAGAGAGTTTAGGCAGGGAGAGAGAAAAGGGACTTGTGGGCTAATGTCTTTATTGGATCCAGGGCATTATCCAAACAGGTTTCCCATGGGGAATTTTAATTGGCAAGTTTAAAGCAAACAGAATGAATTCTAGGAGGTCACAAGGTAGTCATTGTGTCATGCCTTAACAATCCACACAGGGTGTGGAGGGCCAACAGGCAATCAAGCAGGCTATATCTTGCTGTCCCATGGGGAAGTGATTATCAGGGAGCAGTTCTATAGAGATATCTGGATCAACCACACTGGGGAACTGGGGTTGGGGGTGTATAGAGAACTGGAAATTGACATCAAAGATGACAGCCCTGCTTCTTATACAACAAAGTCCAACTTGTATTTAAAATGGATCCCAAGGTAAAATAAAATTGTAAGCATTCACTATAGATGGCAGTACTGTTGGGAAAAGTATAAACGGCAGCCATACCCCAGAGAAAAACCCCAACATGGCGCCTAAGGACCCCTTCTTCCTACCTTCTTCTTTTCTGCAGTGGCGCGAAAAGTTCCCGCCCGTGTGAACTCTCCCACCGGCGCCAATTTCAAATCTCGCTGGCGGGGAACCTTAGCCCCAATGAGAACTAATTCCTGGGCTCCGGAGCTGATATCTGAAAGAACTTGCCAATAAACGGGTTGCCTGCCATTTATCTAAGCCCTACCATCTCCCCCTTAGTTCTATATAAGCACACAGCTTTTTGCGATAAAATTGGAATTCTCCGGGCAAAGTGTCTTTGTGTGGGGAATTCTTTCAAGTACCCCTCAAATTAATTGACCTCCAGATACAGTGCAATCACTATCAAAATCCCAGCTAGCATTTTTTAAATTTATTCTAATTTGTACAGCTAGCATTTTTAATAGAAATTGAGAAGCTGCCTTTAAAGTTCATATAGAAATGCAACACCCATAATATGCAAAACAATCTTGAAAAGGAAGAATAATTTGAAGAACTTAAACTTACTGATTTCAAACTTATTACAAAGTGACATTAATCAATATAGTATGATACTGGCATAAGGATAGATGTATAGATCAATGAAAGTTCAGAGTTCAGAAGTCAACTCTTACATGTATTGTCAATTGGTTTTCAATGTGAGTGCCAAGATAACTCATTGAGGAAAGAATAACTTATTATAACTTTTGTTAACAAATGATCCTGGGAAAACTGGGCATCCACAGGCAAAAGAATGAGGTTGGATCCTTTTTTATATCATATTTTAAAAGTCACTCAAAATAGATCAAGAACCAAAATACAAGAGGTAAAACTGCAAAATCCTGGGGCTGGGGATGTGGCTCAAGTGGTAGCGCGCTCGCCTGGCATGCGTGCGGCCCGGGTTCGATCCTCAGCACCACATACAAACAAAGATGTTGTGTCCACCGAAAAATAAATAAATAAATATTTAAAAAAAAAAAATTGCAAAATCCTTAGAGGAAAACTTGGAAATAAATTTTCATGATCATGAACTAAACAGTAGTTCTTAAACAAATAGCTAAACACAAACAAAAGAAAAAAGATAAATTGGATTTCCTCAAGATACAAAACCTTGCTGTAAATGACGAGAGAAAATATTTGCAAATCATATATTTGATAAAAGACTTATATCCAGAATATCAAATGAACTCCTAAAACACACAAAAATAAAAAGATGGATAACCCAGTTAAAAAACAGGCAAAGATCTAAATAGACATTTTCCTCAATAATACATACAAATGGCCTATTAGCACATGAAAAGGTGTTCAATGCCATCAGCTTTTTGGCAAATGCAAATTAAAACCACAATGAGGGTCGAGGGTGTAGATCAGTGGTAGAGCATGTGCTTAGCATGCATGGGCCCCTGGATTCAATCCCAAGCATCAAAACAAACTCACAATGAGATAATGTGTCATACCCAATAACATGGCTATAATAAAAAGAGATAGATAATATTAAGTATTGATGAATATATAGAGAAATTAAAAGCCTCTTATGTAACTAGTGGAAATGTAAAATAGAACAGCCACTTTGGGAAAGCAGTCTAGCAGTTCATCAAAAGAGGGCTGGGGTTGTAGCTCAGTGGTAGAGCACTTGCCTAGCATGCACAAGGTCCTGGGTTTGATCCCCAGGATCACACATATACATAATTGCTTAAATTACCATATGTTCCAGAAATTCCATTTCTAGGTCTATACCCAAGAGAAATGAAACTGTATCCACACAAAAACTTGTCTTTGAGAATGTTTGTAGGAGTAATATTCTTAATAGCCCGAAAGTGGAAATAATCCAATTGTGTATCAACTTATAAATGGATAATAAAATATAGTATTTTATTATCCATTTATCAGTTGTACAATAAAATATTATTTGGCAATAAAAAGAAATGATATACTGATCTGTACTACAACATGGATGAAATTGGAATATATTAGACCAAGCAAAAGAAAAAAGTTAAAAAGACTACCTGTTATACAATTCATTTAGATGAAATAGAAGGTAAATATATACAAACAGAAAGTAGTTTAGTGGTTGCCAGTGATTAAGAGTGAGAAGATATGGTTGGGGGGATGGGGAGTGACTGCTAATGTGTATGAGTTTCTTTTTTGAGGTGATGAATATGTTCTGAAATTAATAGTGGTGATTGTTGCATAACTCTGACTATACTAAAGCTTTGAACTCTACATTTTTGAATGGATGAATTCTATGGTATATGAATTAAATCTCAACAAAGCTATGCAAAAATATTATTAGGGATGTCATCTATGGTTGTACTTTTCTTTTAAAAATTCAGCTAAACTATACAATCTGTTGCAATGACATCCTGTTCATATCATTTTGAAATGTGTTTTGTGAGTGAGACTGATAACCTAGTAGCATTTTCTGAACTTTAAAGTTAATCCAAAATGAAGATCTTTAAATAATGACCAGATATTCTGATTCCAGATTCTGGGGACATTTTTTCAGTTCTACCAGCTTATTTCCCAAAGTACTGTACTGAACAACAACAACAACAACAACAAAATTCTTTTACAGCTTTCTTTTTCTTTGAGCTGAGATAACTTACATTTTTAACTATGGAGATTTTATTGCTTTTTCATTTTGGTAGTTTGATCCTAGGAGAAAAGAAAGCTTCAATCGAGGAACTCATATGTGCCTGATCCTTGTGCTTATGAAGACGTCAAAATACACCATCCTGTTTAATATTTATAAAATTATGAGGTAGATCTTGTTTTCTCGATTTTACAGATAAGAAAACTGAGTCAGGTAACGAGAATCACAAAACTTTTGAATAATGGAGCTGGGATTGGAATTCAGTCTTCTAAATTCCAAGTCCTAGTATAGTCTAGGTTGATTTATGGAAGCACCAAATATAGTCTTCTTTGGTTATTTTTTCTTTTTATAAGAAATATTAGAAAACTCCAGTAGGAATCACCTTTCTGTAAGACAATTAGATCCTCAGATCAAATCCCCCAAGTTAAAGGTTTATAATTTTTGGTGTTATGCATATAATATATTTCTCCTATTTTATTTAAGCGTAGCTAACAGCCTTATTTTTTCTTTCCTTTATTCACAGCAATGGTGATCTAGACCCCTGGTCAGGAGGTGGAGTAACCAAAGACATCACAGACACCCTGGTTGCAGTCACCATCAAGGAGGGGGCCCATCATTTGGATCTTAGAGCCAACAATGCCTTGGATCCTACATCTGTGCTATTAGCACGTGCCCTGGAAATTGAACACATGAAGCGATGGATCAAAGATTTCCATGACAATGTCAGAAGGCAGCCCTGAGCAACTTTTGATCATTTATAGTTTCTTCTTTTATGTTCAATACACCCCTATTCCCATTCACTTTGGTTTTCTATGTGTAATAACTTTCCCTCATTTGTCATTAGATTTGGTGGTGCCCAGGTTGAGATAGAAGAGAGGGTGATGGAGGTGTTGCCAACCCAATAATGTCGTAGCCCAGGTAGTCAACCTGCATGCATCACCTACAGGAAGAAATCTCATCATGATGCCTCCCACACCATCAGTGGCCCTCATAACTCAAGCAGAGTTTCTCACTGCCTTTCAAAAGAGAGTCACTTCCTTTGTTTCCCTGCAAGTAGGCATTTGAATTCTGAGTTCTGAGATTGAAATCTCTTTTGCCATATGCAAGTCCCCATTCCTACTCACCAAAAGGAAAAGCAGAAGATAGATAAAAATGACGTAAGTGCAGCTGGTAGGAAGAATGTCTGATGCTAATCCAGGAAATGGGGTCATTCCTTTTGTACTTGATTTAATGACTTTAAAATGTGCTGTAAATAAAGAATAAGGCTGGACCTTATACCTGTGTGTTGCTTCTGAAGCTCACTCCAGCTGTTGGGAATATAGTGTGCCCTGGGCTTGGCTGTTTTGGGAAAGTCCTTTAATTTTCTCTCTTCTACTTGGCAGCTTTCCTAAGTTCTGGGATATTTGCCACTGTGGTACTGCCAGTAAGAAAATCTGGCCTTTTCCAGCTCTATTTCTCTTTGTTTCTAATGTCAGTTTTGTGGTAATTTGGCTAAATCATGCCAGTTTAGGAAAATGACTGTTTTGCCTTTTACTTTAAATCTGAACAATCTCTGTTTTGGGTTACTGATGATACTTTAGTAAAAAGCCTTAAAAAAATAGACAAATTGACTATTCAGAAAGAAGAATGTAGTTATGTTCGGCTTAAAAAAAAAATTTTTTTTTTCCTGGTGGTTGTTACTGCTCTCATTAAAGCCAGAAGTGTTGGGACACTGAGAGGCAGGTGCATGAGGACTTTTCTGTATGGCTTCCAAATGACAAGCTGACTAATTCATGCAGGCAGCATATTTGACATTAATAAATGGCCAAGCCATTCCTACTTCCAAGGGGTTGGCTTCTTTCAAGCAGTTCTTACACTGAGACCTTTCTTCAGAAGAGCTTTGCTAGGATAACAAATAGGGTTGGATCAAAACCTTTCAGGGACACAGAGAGACTAACAGTTTCTACTTTGTTGAAAGATTTCTTCCTTTTTTTTCTTCCTCTCAATAGTATTTTTTCCCCTTTTCTCTGCCTTGAGGATATTTTTTAAATTATTATTTTTAATTTTTTGCTTTTTAAAAACCATACTTAAGTGTGATCATTTCAAAAGCAGTTATTATTTAAGGTGCAAATGTAGAGTTCATTCTTGGGTATTAGACTGAAATATTTCCTTTGCTTTTTCTGGCATCTGAGAGATACAGAAAATCTTTGTCTTGTTTTGGAAGCTGTCAGTTCTCATTGTAATGAGTTATTCATCAAAGAATTTGGTCACTGTTTTCATTTCAGCATCAGAAAACAGACTACTGGGGTGAGAATTTAAAGGTGAAAACAGTACTAGTTTTTAATTTTTTGTCCATTAAGAAGTTATATAATGTAGAATTTGGGGTCTTAATAGAGGATGTTCTTACTATTTACTCAAGGACTTTTAGGCTGTTTTTCTTGAAACCTTTTACTTGTTTAGAATCTTTAAAATGCTTTGCCATTTCATTTAAGATTAGTTGTTCAAATGAATTGCATTATATATAATATTTTTTCAGCAAATAGAATTTGATTCTATTACTATATACATTTCATTTATGTGAACAACAGCCTTAACTGAAGTTAGACTAATTGTAATGTGCTAAAATTTAATTTTAAATTGCAAAAGAATTGGAACATCAAATAAGCCTTATTTAAAGGTTATTGCCAGGCATGGTAGTGCATACCTGGCAATAAGCTCAATAAGCTTGAGCCTAGGAATTTAAGGCCAGCCTGGGCAATACAGCAAGACTCTGTCTCAGGAGGGGTGGGGGAGGAAGAGGAGGAGGAGGAGGAGGAGGAGGAGGAGGAGGAGGAGGAATCTCATCTCATTTGAAGCCTCTTTTAATTAATAGATTGTGCTTTGAACAGACAGGGAAAGAAAGACATACAGAACTGGAGTTCTTTTTAAATTTTCTATGTTAACTACTTTAATTCCCTGGAGTCAATGAGTAGCACTAATTAAATTTATGGAACTTACTCAGGGGATCTGCATAGCCAAGAGATTATCCAGAGGTGCCAATGGCTAGGTCAGCATATTAGAGGGAGAAGGTGCCTGAGCTATCCAATCCAACCCCATTATTTTGTAGGTGATAGGATTGTGACTCAGAAGGAAAGGGCTTGCCTAAGACTCACAGCTCATTTTTTGGCAAAACCAGGACTTAACTCCAGATTTTTTGTTTATTAGTTTGTTTTATTTTGTGTGGCTTAATCTTTGGGTTCAAAGCAACAAAAATCTCACCAAACTACCTTAACCAAAAAGGGGAATTTATTGAGACCATGTAAGAATTGTTCTAGGTCTTAGATTACTAGGCAGTATGAGGGAATGCAACCCAGACTAGTGAGTTAAGACTGTTATATTGCTTCTCTGGCTTTCAAAAAGGTCACCAGTTGTCAGCATGTGTGTTACATTTGTTTCTCAGATGTATACAGCTTGGCCAGCAGTGTGAAGTGTGTAACTATCCAAAGGTCTGTAAAGGCACTGATTGCTGAGTCGACCCCATAATTTCTATCTCTTGGGGTAGATCTTGAAGAGTTGCATTTCTAACAAGTTCCTATATGAGGCTGGCAGAACAGTTTGAGAACCTCTAGCTCAAAGAATTCTGAATTTGATTTTCTTTAGACAAAGCATGCCTCTTCAGTTCTTCTTACTCAAATTGTCCTTCCTGACCTTTCAGAGTATGGGAGCCCTGCCCAAGGCATTATTGCATGTGATTACTCTATTTTTTTTTTCTGTAAACCAACTTCCTCTTCTCTACTCACACAAGGACCATGATGACTTCCAAGTCTTTCCTGGCTTTCCTAAAGGAAGTCATTCCTTATTCCCCATTGCTTTATAAGTCCAGAGCGCTCAGGTGGTTAGGGCAGGGCAGGGCCATGAAACATGGTTACAAACATGCACTTCTTAGGATGGAGGAGGAAAATGTATCACTTGGTATCTGTCATGATATTTCTTGGAACACAGGTGTCCAACAAAATGCCAATGACTTATGCAGTAGGTGAGTATGTTTGGAAAACAGTGAGATTAAACCAATTTCAATAGTAGTTTTGTTTGTAATCTGTAAATATGCATGTGACTGTCCAACATGGTAATCAAGAATGCAACTTTTCCTACTTGTACATAACAGATCCTCTTCTAAGCATAAGGCTTTGTTCCAGAACCTGGAAAATACAATAGCAACAGAGGAAATACATTTTGAATTTTACATTCCAGTGAGAGGAAGACATGAAATGCAATACAATGTAGTACAACATGATATATCACAATACAATGTGAGACATTGGAATAGGATATGATGTACTGTGACAGTGATATACTGCAATACAATGTGACATATTGTAATATTGGATATACTGTGATACAAAGCAATACAATGTAACACCAGTACAATGTATACACTGTCATACCACCATACACAGTGACACAATACATTATACTGTGTTATACTATAATATGATATAATACAATGTAATACATCATGATATAATGTACTGATACATCATATGAAGAATAGTACTATAAAACTAGGGTCTGTTGGGTTAGGACACTTAACAGAGACTGAATTAGTCTAAGGGAATAACTGCTTTTTTTGAGATGCTACATTATAGCTATGATATAAAAGATGAACAGAAGCTATAGTAGGGAGAAGAGTGGAGAAAATGGCATGAGCAAAAGCTCTGAGTGTAGCATATTCAAAAGAGTGGTAAGGCCACTACAATGGGACAGCAGACAACCACAGAGAAAATGATATGAGGTGAGTCTAGAAGCATGAGCAAGGGGAAATACTCATTCAAGTAGATCATGATAAAGAATCTTTGCAAGGAATGAATGGTAAACCACTAATAGGTCTTCATCAGGGGAGTGGCAGAACAGATTTTCATTTAAAAGGATCATTCTGGCTTTTAGGCCATTAGAGATCTAGTACAGCTTTTGCTTACCTTCTGTCACTCTTCACTTTCCAAAACCCCTGTACTTCAGCTGTATGAAACTTCTTATCAGTCTAAAATACTGCTGTTTTATCTAAAATTACTTTCTTAGCACCACTCTCCAGTGGTGTGTGTGTGTGTTTCTTACAGACAAGTTCTGTGCCTCTTGTAAAACCCACATCCACCTGGATACATCCCCGTGAAGTCTTTCCTGGCTTTCCAAAGGAAGTCATTCTTTATGCTTTCACAGAACCTAGTGTCAGCTAGAATGTGGACACCATTCCAGTACCTTCAACAGTACCTGATCACCTTAATATAGTATATATACTCTAACTAATAATATTTTCTCAGTGTCCTTACCCTCTTTTTAGACAAACCAATTTCTCAGAGGGCAAAGACCATGTCTTACTCCTTCTGGTCATCAGCATCTGGCATAGGTCCTGGCAGCCAGGTCTCAGTAAACCCTCCATAAATTTATGTTTAATGAACAAATTTCAGGATAGAAAGACCTAGCTTTCTATTAATCTCTTTCTATAGCCAAGCACCTTTCACAGTTCTGATGTGTTTAAATGACCTTTGTCCTTGGCCTCCCTGGATTTTGAAAGGGGATCGCCTCATCCTCATGACCTCTGGAACTTGGACTTCCCTGGTTGACCCTCACTTTACCCGTGGGCATCTCTGACTCCCTTTCCCACTCTGTTAACTTGGTCAAAGAAGGTTGATGTTATGTGGAAAAAGAACACTGACCAGAGATAGTGTCAGCCGCTCATGAAGCTCTGTCCTAAAGGAACAGAACAGAGGAAGAGCTGGTTCGAAGAGCTGGTTGGAAAGCAGTCTTGAGATGTTTTAGCTCTATGTGTTTAACATGGCTGATGCCTTAAGCAAGAAACAGGGCCTGGAATTTGAATGTTACTTACTCAAGATCATACAGCTCAATGTTTATTTATTATACATTTATTTATTTTTGTCATATCTGGTTTTGAAAGGGTTTCAGGTAACTCAAAAATATACTTTGAACATGACACAAGAAACAGAAGAGAATTAAAAGGGATAGAGATGCAAAAGGTATCTAGAATGGCAGAACTTATCAAATACTTTCCATAGAATGCTATTAGGCCAGATGTTAGTAGGTCTCTCTCTCTCTCTCTCTCTCTCTCTCTCTCTCTCACACACACACACACACACACACACACACACAGAGTTTCTTAGTAGAAATGTTTGAATATATTGAAACCAATTTAAACAGATTACTACAGAATCTTCCAAATCTTTAATTTTGTACTGTGAATCAACAAAATGTGACATAACCCAAGTTTATTTGATCTGGATCTCTTTCTTTTTTTTTAATGCTAT